AGTGCAGTTGATGTTAATAAGCTTTTTTATAGATTTTTTCACTACAGAGTTATTTTTCTCTCTTCATCATTAAGTATCTTTATGAAGGTAATATGCATAAACCATCACATTTAATCTGGCAGCTGTACCCCCATTTTTTTAAGGTTTTTTTTTTCTTAATCGTACTTTAAGTTCTGGGGTACATGTGCAGAACATGCAGGTTTGTTACATAGGTATACACAGGCCATGGTGATTGGCCGCATCCATCACCCATCATCTACATTAGGTATTGCTCCTAATGCTATTCCTCCCCTAGATCCCTAGCTCTCGACAGTAATGGTATGTGTGATGTTCCCCTCCCTGTGTCCACATGTTCTCATTGTTCCACTCCCACTTGTAAGTGAGAATATGCAGTATTTGGGTTTCTGTTCTTGTGTTCGTTTACTGAGAATGATGGTTTCCACCTTCATTCATGTCCCTGCAAAGGGCATAAACTTATTCTTATTTTTATGGCTGCATTGTATTCCACGGTATATATATGCCACAGTTTTTAAGTCCAGTCTATCATCGATGGGCATTTGCATTGGTTCCAAGTCTTTGCTATTGTGAGCAGTGCTGCAATAAACATACTTGTGCATGTGTCTTTAGAAGAGGGTGATTTATAATCCTTTGCGTATATACCCAGTAATGGGATTGCTGGGTCAAATGGTATTTCTAGTTCTAGATCCTTGAGGAATTGCCACACTGTCTTCCACAATGGTTGAACTAATTTACACTACCTCCAACAGTATAAAAGTGTACCTATTTCTCCACATCCTCTTCGGCATCTTTTGTCTTTTGACTTTTTAGTGATCACCATTCTAACTGGTATGAGATAATATCTCAATGTGGTTTTAATTTTCATTTCTCTAATGACTAGGGATGATGTGCTTTTTTTCCATATGTTTGTTGGCCGCATGAATGTCTTCTTTTGCAAAGTGTCTGTTCATATCCTTTGCCCACTTTTTGATGGGGTTATTTTTTTTTCCTGTGAATTTGTTTAAGTTCTTTGTAGATTCTGGATATTAGCTCTTTGTCATATGGGTAGACTGCAAAATTTTTTCTTCCATTCTGTAGGTTTCCTGTTCACTCTGATGATAGTTTTTTTTTAGCTGTGCAGAAGCTCTTTAATTAGATCCCATTTGTCCCTTTTGGCTTTTGTTACCATTGCTTTTGGTGTTTTATTCATGAGGTCTTCGCCCATGCCTATGTCCTCAATGGTATTGCCTACATTTTCTTCTATGGTTTTTATGGTTTTAGGTCTTACATTTAAATCTTTAATTCATCTTGAGTTAATTTTTGTGTAAGGTGTAAGGAAGAGATCCAGTTTCAGCTTTCTGCATATGGCTAGCCAGTTTTCCTAGCACCACTTATTAAATAGGGAATTCTTTTGCCATTTCTTGTTTTTGTCAGGTTGGTTAAAAATCAGATGGTTGTAGGTTTATGGCATTACATCTGAGGTCTCTGTTCTGTTCCATTTGTTTATATAATCTGTTCTGGTATCAGCATCATGCTGTTTTGGTTACTGTAGCCTTGTAGTATACTTTGAAGTCAGATAGTGTGATGCCTCCAGCTTCCCCCCAGCCACTTAGAATTGTCTTGGCTATATAGGCTCCTTTTTTGGTTCCATATGAAGTTTAAGGTGGTTTTTTCCAGTTTTGTGAAGAAAGTCAGTGGTCACTTGACGGAGATAGCATTGAATCTTTAGATTACTTTGGGCAGTATGGGGATGCTCACCATATCGATTCTTCCTAACCATAAGCATGGAATGTTTTTCCATTTGTTTGCATTCTTTCTTATTTCCTTGAGCAGTGGTTTGTAGTTCTCTTTGAAGAGGTCCTTCACATCCCTTGTAAGTTGTATTCCTAGGTATTTAATTCTCTTTGTAGCAATTGTGAATGAGAGTTCACTCATGATTTGGCTCTCTGATTGTCTGTTATTGCTGTATAGGAATGCTTGTAATTTTTGCACATTGACTTTGTATCCTGAGACTTCACCGAAGTTGCTTATCAGCTTAAGGAGATTGTGGGCTGAGACAGTGGGGTCTTCTAAATATACAATCATGTTGTCTGCAAATAGAGACAATTTGACTTCCTCTTTACCTATTTGAATACCCTTTATTTCTTTCTCTTGCCCGATTGCCCTGGCCAGAACTTCCAATACTATGTTAAATAGGAGTGGTGAGAGAGGGCATCATTATCTTGTGCCAGTTTTAAAAGGGAATGCTTCCAGTTTTTTGCCCAGTCAGTATGATGTTGGCTGTGGGTTTGTCATAAATAGCTTTTATTATTTTGAGATACATTCCATCAGTTCCTAGTTTATTAAGAGCTTTTAGCATGAAGGGTTGTTGAATTTAGTTGAAGGCCTTTTCTGCATTTCTTGAGATAATCATGTGGTTTTTGTCTTTGATTCTGTTCGTGTGATGAGATACATTTATTGATTTGCATATCTTGAACCACCCTTGCATCCCAAGGATGAAGCCGACTTGATTGTAATGGATAAGCTTCTTCATGTGCTTTTGGATTTGGTTTGACAGTATTTTATTGCGGATTTTTGCATCAATGTTCATCAGGGATGTTGGCCTAAAATTTTTTTTTTTTTTCGATTGTGTCTCTGCCAGCTTTTTCTATCAGGATGATGTTTGCCTTGCCTCATAAAATGAGTTAGGGAGGATTCCCTCTTTTTCTATTGTTTGGAATAGTTTCAGAAGGAATTTTACCAGCTCCTCTTTTACCTCCAGTAGAATTTGGCTGTGAAACCATCTGGTCCTGGACTGTTTTTGGATGGTAGATTATTAACTGTTGCCTCAATTTCAGACCTTGTTATTGGTCTATTCAGGGATTCAACTTCTTCCTGGTTTAGTCTTGAGAGGGTATAATTGTCCAGGAATGTATCCACTTCTAGATTTACTGGTTTGTGTGCAAAGAGGTGTTTGTAGTAATCTCTGATGGTAGTTTGTATTTCTGTGGAATCAGTGGTGATATCCTCTTTATAATTTTTTACTGCATCTATTTGATTCTTGTTTCTTTTCTATTAGTCTGGCTAGCAGTCTATCTATTTAGTTGATCTTTTCAAAAAACCAGCTCCTGGATTCATTAAATTTTTGAAGGTTTTTTTTTGTGTGTGTGTCTCTATCTCCTTCAGTTCTGGTCTGATCTTAGTTATTTCTTGTTTTATGCTAGCTTTTGAATTTGTTTGTTCTTGCTTCTCTACTTCTTTTAATTTTGATGTTAGTGTGTTAATTTTAGGTCTTTTCTGCTTTCTCTTTTGGGCATTTTGTACTAAAAATTTTCCTCTACATAGCGCTTTAAATGTGTCCCAGAGATTCTGGTACATTGTGTCTTCGTTCTCATTGGTTTCAAAGAACATCTTTATTTCTGCCTTCATTTAGTTATTTATCCAGTACTCATTCAGGAGCAGGGTGTTTAGTTTCCATGTAGTTGTGTGGTCTTGAGTGAGTTTCTTAATCCTGAGTTCTAATTTGATTGCACTGTGGTCTGAGAGACTGTTTGTTATAAATTCTGTTCTTTTGCATTTGCTGAGAAGTGTTTTACTTCCAATTATGTGATCATTTTTAGAATAGGTGCAATGTGGTGTCAAGAAGAATGTATATTCTGTTTATTTGGGGTGGAGGGTTCTGTTGATGTCTGTTAGGTCCGCTTGGTCCAGAGCCAGCTCAAGTCCTGGATATCCTTGTTAATTTTCTGTCTTGTTGATCTGTCTAATATTGACAGTGGGGTGTTAATGTCTCCCATTATTATTGTGTAGGAGTTTAAGCCTCTTTGTACATCTCTAAGAACTTACTTTATGAATCTGGGTGCTCCTGCATTGTGCATATATATTTAGGATAGTTAGCTCTTCTTGTTAAATTGATTCCTTTACCATTATGTAATACCCTTCTTTGTCTCTTTTGATCTTTGATGGTTTAAAGTCCGTTTTATCAGAGACTAGAATTGTAACCTCTGTTTTCTTTTTGCTTTCTATTTGCTTGGTAAATATTACTCCATCTCTTTATTTTGGGCCTCTGTGTGTGTCTGCACACGAGGTGGGTCTCTTGAATACAGCACACTGATGGGTCTTGACTCTATCCAATTCGCCAGTCTGTTTCTTTTTATTGGGGCATTTAGCCCATTTATATTTAAGGTTAATATTGTTATGTGTGAATTTGACCCTGCCATTATGATGCTGGTCATTTTGCCTGTTAATGTAGTTTCTTCCTCGCATTGATGGTCTTTACAATTTGGTATGTTTTTCCAGTGACTGGTACCAGTTGTTCCTTTCTATGTTTAGTACTTCCTTAAGGAGCTGTTGTAGGGCTGGCCTGGTGGTGTTCTTTAGGTTTTCTTTGCACTTACCTTTCTTTGATAAATGAAAGCTCTCTTCTTTGTTTACAGGCCAGAAAAACTGAAAACAAACAAACAAGAAAACAGGCTCTTCCAATTACTGGATGTTTGACAAAATAGTTTTCTGGGGCCAAAACATTGGCATTACTGGTGAGCTTGTTAGAAATTCAGTAACTTAGACTTCATTTCAGATCTCCTGAAAAAATAATCTGCATTTACGAGATGCCCAGTTTTGTGCACATTAAAATTTGAATGGTACCTTCTAACTCAACATGTCTATCTTGTATGAAAAATATAAACAACTATGTCTTTTTCTTCTGAAAAATATACAGAACTCATTCTGTATTATGTAAATATAGCACACAAAAATACACGTTAGCATTTATGCCCTCTATTTTCCATTTTATCATCCAGGCAAGTATATATACACTGATGTTGTGGATATTATGCCACTCTCTTTTCTCAGAGTTAGAGAATATGTTACAAAATGCTTGTATATTGACAGTTATTTTATTGGTTAGTTTCAGCCACTCTTATAAGTCAGAACCAATTCTATTCACTTTCTCATTTTACCTTGAGTCAAATGAAAAATTCTGCCCATACCCACTTTGTAAATATGTGTGTGTGTGTGTTTTCCAGGGACTATTGACATTTAGGGATGTGGCCATAGAATTCTCTCTGGAGGAGTGGCAATGCCTGGACACTGCACAGCAGAATTTATATAGGAATGTGATGTTAGAGAACTACAGAAACCTGGCCTTTCTGGGTGAGGATAACTTTAATATGGAATTCCTAATATAAACTAAAGGTTTCATTACTTTTTTGTAGAATGTATTTTGCTTATTTATGCTTTCAGATTTCTGTTTTCAAGAAAATCCTGGGGATTTGTTTAGAAAAGGATTTCTTCAAGATATTTTATTTTAACTCGAACTTTCCATATTCCTGAGCTGATCTGTGTCCTTCACTTTAGTGGTAATTTCAGTAGTTTAGTGGCATAGAACATTGTTTCTCACACTTTAAAATCTAATTGCCATCGTGAATTTTTGATTGAGTAGTAATAGGCAGTGAAATTAATAATCTACAAAATTAAAATATTTAATAAATATTAAAAAATTTCTGTTATAAATTGGTATATTGGGATAAATTTATTAGAATACTTTATTATATCTTCTTTACTGAGCACATTACTAAGTTGGTAATCGGAGAATATGAGCAAGATTCATGTTAGTTATTTTTAATAAAACAGGTATTGCTGCCTCTAAGCCAGACTTGATCACCTGTCTGGAGAAAGCAAAAGAGCCCTGGAAGATGAAGCGACATGTGATGGTGGATGAACTCCCAGGTAGGTGAGAGTGAATACAACAGACGACATGGATGAGAGGTCCAAAGTCAAGGAGAAAGCCAGTCTTTAAAGTGATTCGGGAAGCTGTGTTCCAGAGTAAATAGTTTCTGGGAAGCCTGTAATTAAAAAAAAAATTAAACTCTCACATAAGGGGCATCTTCTGTCTTATGCTTATAAAATATCTAAGAAGTCTACTTTTCCTTAAATGATCTTCCTTCCAGTTTACAGTGACAGCCAAAGTACTGTTCATGGCATAAAATAGAGTATAAAATCTGACTTGTTTTTTCTTGTTTTTGTGGAGAGACAGGTATCTGCATAATTTTGATTTACTGTATGTTAACCTTTTTTTTTTGAGATGGAGTTTCACCATGTTGGCCAGGATGGTCTCGATTTCCTGACCTTATGATCCACCCATCTCAGACTCCGAAAGTGCTGGGATTACAGGCGTGAGCCACTGCACCTGGGGTTAACCTATTTTTTAAGTTCTCTTTTTGCATCATGACTGAGATGCATGAGAGCAGTGGTTTCTGTTCCATTGATTTTTAAAAATTTTTCTGCACATTTTGTCCTATTTCCACTACTATAGTCTTAAATATGGTTTAAAATTATAAAGTATGATGTCATTCTGCTTTGTTCTTTTTCCTCAAGATTGTGTTGGCTATTCAGAGTTTATTGTAATTTTATATACATTTTAGGGTTATACTTTTTATTACTGTGGAAAAAAACTGGATATTGATAAGGAGTCTATTGAATCTATAGCTCACTTTGCATATTATGGCAGTTTCACAATAGTTATTCTTTCAATAGAAATAACATATTTTAAAATTTATTTTTGCCCTCTCTTAATTTTTTTCATTGATATAGTTTTCACTTAAAAGATTTATAAGTTTCTTGGTTAAATGTGTTCTAAAATTGATTATTTTACTGCTATTTTAAATTAGATTTTTTTTTCTTTATCAAATAGTTTGTTTTAGGTATATGGAACCATAACTTATATGTTAATTTATATTTTGCTAATTAACTGAGTATATTTATTAGTTTATACAGATTTTAACGTAGTGTTTATGTTTTTTAATATATAAGATTACATGATCTACAAACAGCAACGTTTTACTTATTGGTCTTCAATATTGATGTATTTCAATTTTTCTTTGTCTATTTCTTCTTCCACATACTTTCAGTGCTATGTTAAAATAGAAGCATTGCAATAAGAAGTTTACATTGGTGTCTGTAAATCTGAATGAGCAAACAGCTTTCCAAGTTTCTATAAACTGATTTGAGAAAGTAAAAATCTATTTTTGTTGGGTCTGTCAAGTGGTAGAATGCCCTCTGGGTTTGTAGTGAAGAGGGGTTATAGCTTGGTCTTAAGGCTGCTGGGTTTGCACACAGGCCACTGTTAGCTGTCTTGTTAAAAGGGGCTTGGATAGTTGTAATTCTCATTTAACTTTTGGACAGAGTGAATATTCTTCAGGACTTTGCTCGGCAGGGCAGATTCAAGTGCAGGTTTCTGTAGTCAGGTTTGCATATGGTGGGCTTTATATCAATATGTGGATGAGCGTGGCTTTCACTGAGTTCAAAAGAGGTTTTTCCCGGGTCACTCCGAGTTTGTACATAGGCAGAACTGATCATGAACTGAGTCATGGAACTGCTTCAGGGATCAAAGTAAAAGTCATGGTCTGCAGGCCTGCTGGATGGCTATAAAATGGGGGACTTCATCCAGGCCTCTGGAAGAACAGGATCTCCTTCAGACTGTGGCTGGGAAAAGTTAGGGATAGTTACAGATTAAGTTCAGAATTCTCAGTGGAATCAAGTTAGGTGGAACAACATTTTCTTATCTGTAGCCAAAAATGGTAGTCTAGTAGTTTGCCACCTGAGTGAGTGCCTTCCTTCTAAAACAGATTTTACCTTCAATCTTGGGCCTTAGCAGAGTTTCACAACTCCCTTCCTGAATCTCAGAGCTCTCTTAAAGGCACTTATTTTTGAGATGGGGTCTTGCTGCATTACCCAGGCAGGTCTTAATATTTTTACCAGAAGCAATTCTCCAATTTTAATGTACCATGTAGCTGACACTTCAGGTGGGATCCGTGATGCCTGCTTCTCTCATAAAGGCATTTTTTTCAGGAATGGCTGACAGATTTTCTTGCTGTCAGGGGATAAGCAAATAGGGAACCCTTTTTTTTAAAAAAAAAAATCTTATTAATGTCACTCTCCATATAAATTTTTAGTTTCTATTTTTTATTTCAAATTTGTCTATTATTCTAGATTCAGACATTTAGGGCAATATACTAAAATTTACATGTTGTACCTGAATTAGATATTATGCAGGCAGACAAAAAGGAATTACAGAATTTTCAACCATTTTTGTCAGCCTATATCTAAATAAAAACATAATTTCCCAAATATTTGTTTTATATATGAGGCTCTGTTAAATATATACATAATTTAGCAATGTTAGGCTATTTTTTGCTTTTAAACTTGGGTTACAGTAGTTTTAGTTTGTGAAAAATGAATATATTTAAAACATAAAAATTTACACTATTTTTAAAATTTATACATATACATATTTTCTATTTTTATTTTATATATATGTATTTTTTATTGCACTTTATGTTCCTGGGTACATGTGCAGAACATGCAGGATTGTCGCATAGGTATATACACGGCAATGTAGTTTGCTGCCTCTATCCCTCCATCACCTATATCTGGCATTTCTCCCTATGTTATTCCTCCCCAACCTCCCTAACCCCTGCTGTCCCTCCATTCTTCTGTACCAACAGACCCCAGTGTATGATGCTCACCTCCCTGTGTCCATGTGTTCTCATTGTTAAACACTTGCCTATGAGTGAGAACATGCGGTGTTTGATTTTCTGTTCTTGTGTCAGTTTGCTGAGAATGATGGTTTCCAGGCACATCCATGTCCCTGCAAAGGACACAAACTAATCATGTTCTGTGGCTGCATGGTATTCCATGGTGTATATGTGCCACATTTTTCTTTTTCCAAAAAGAAACACGAGAAAAAACAGAGACATAAAATGAGAGGAGAAGTTATACCATTAAGAGTACTATCAAAGTAAGTCTGTGGTTTAAATTCTGTTGTCATTGGTTTAAGAATCCAGTGTGCCACATTTTCTTTGTCCAGTCTATCATCGATGGACATTTGGGTTGGTTCCAGGTCTTTGTTATCGTAAACAGTGCCGTGATGAACATGTGTGTGCATATGTCTTTATAATAGAATGATTTATACTCCTTTGGATATATATGCCCAGTAATGGGATTGCTGGGTCAAATGGAATTTCTATTTCTAGGTCCTTGAGTAATCGCCACACTGTCTTCCACATGGTTAAACTAATTTACACTCCCATCAACAGTGTAAAAGTGTTCCTATTTCTCCACATCCTCTCCAGTATTTGTTGTCTCCAGATTTTTTAATGATTGCCATTGTAACTGGCATGAGAGGGTATCTCAATGTGGTTTTGATTTGAATTTCTTTAATGACCAGTGATGATGAGCATTTTATCATGTGTTTGTTGGCCTCACATATGTCTTCTTTTGAAAAGTATCAGTTCATGTTCTTCTCCCACTTTTGAATGTTTTTTTTTCATTGTAAATCTGTTTTAGTTTTTTGTAGATTCTGGATATCAGCCCTTTGTCAGATGGGTAAACAGCAAAAATTTTTTCCCATTCTGTTGGTTGCCAATTCACTCTAATGACTCTTTCTTTTGCTGTGCAGAAGCTGTGCAGTTTGATTAGGTCCCATTTGTCTATTTTGGCTTTTGTTGTCAATGCTTTTGGTGTTTTGGTCATGAAGTCGTTGCCTACTCCTATGTCCTGAATGGTTTTGCCTAGATTTTCTTCAAGGGTTTTTATGGTGCTAGGTCTTATGTTTAAGTCTTTAATCCATCTGGAGTTAATTTTAGTGTAAGGTGTCAGGAAGGGGTCCAGTTTCTGCTTTCTGCACATGGCTAGCCAGTTTTCCCAACACGATTTATTAAATAGGGAGTCCTTTTTTCATTGCTTGTTTTTGTCAGGTTTATCAAAGATTGTATGGTTGTAGATATGTTGTGTTGCCTCCAATGCCTCTGTTCTGTTCTATTGGTCTATATCTCTGTTTTGGTACCAGTACCATGCGGTTTTGATTACTGTAGCCTTGTAGTATAGTTTGAAGTCCAGTAGTGTGATGCCTCCTGCTGTGTTCTTTTTACTTAGAATTGACTTGGCTATGTGGGTTCTCTTTTGTTTCCATATGAAGTTTAAGGTGGTTTCTTCCAGTTCTGTGAAGAAGGTCATTGGTAGCTTGATGGGGATAGCGTTGAATCTGTCAATTACTTTGGGCAGTATGGCCATTTTCCTGATATTGATTCTTCTTAACCATGAACATGGAATGTTTCTCCATCTGTTTGTGTCCTCTCTTATTTCATTGAGCAGTGGTTTGTAGTTCTCCTTGAAAAGGTCCTTTATGTTCCTTGTTAATTGCATTCCTAGGTATTTTATTCTCTTTGTAGCAATTGTGAATGGCAGTTTGTTCTTGATTTGGCTCTCTTTAAGTCTGTTATTGGTGTAGACGAATGCTTGTGATTTTTGCACATTGATTTTGTATCCTGAGACTTTGCTGAAGTTGCTTATCAGTTTCAGGAGATTTTGGGCTGAGATGATGGGGTCTTCCAGGTATGCTATCATGTCGTCTGCAAATAGAGACAATTTGGCTTCCACCTTTCCTATTTGAATACCCTTTATTTCTTTTTCTTGCCTGATTGCTCTGGCTAGAACTTCCAGTACTATATTGAATAGGAGTAGTGAGAGAGGGCATCCTTGTCTAGTGCCAGATTTCAAAGGGAATGCTTCCAGTTTTTGCCCTTTCAGTATGATATTGGCCGTTGGTTTGTCGTAAATAGCTTTTATTATTTTGAGATACGTTCTATCAATAGTGAGTTTATTGAGGGTTTTTAGCGTAAAGGGCTGTTGAATTTTGTCAAAGGCCTATTCTGCATCAACTGAGATAA